CCCCCCCCCATATCCACTCCTCTGATACTTACATCGAAGCTCAGCTTATAATCTATCTTTTGATGGCTCAAGGAAAATGCTTTTAGCAGAGGAAGTTCCAACCAAGAGCAATTTATTGATTGTGTTAGCAATAAAACCCGATTGAAAACGCCTCTATATATATTACGGTTTCATCAATTTTTTTTTCTGGTGCTTTGAACCCGACCTTCAAGCATAACGCACCAATGTACTGACCAATTACAAAATCGTCATATACACTCTACCTAAATCCACCGGCACTTAGCTGGTTCCTTTCATTTTTAACTTTTGGCATACTCAAGCTGACAGAAGAACAATAAAAATTGGACGTGGCACCATGAACGATATTACACATAACCTACGATTCCGTTTCAGAAAAAAAACATGCCCTAACTTTAGGCCCTGGACTATCGCGTGATAATCTTGGTTTATATGCCGGATGTTTATTGGTCTCGTAATCTGTGATTGTAGTTCAGGTTGGTCGATACTCCAACTTCCAGAACTGAGTCCGAACTTTCGGGCCGTTAAATACACCCAATTGCCATATGTTCCTTTTTACTAGGAAAACCGTCAGAATCCCCACTTACATCCAGGGGGAGGCCGAAGACCCGGTTGACCTTCAAATCAAGTCGCTCCAATACATGTTCAACCGGTTGCAAGTGGAAAATCTAGTGCCTTTTCTGAACAGTAACGGCGGATACGAACTCAAATACAAACCTGGCCTTTCCCCGGAATTAGTCACTGATATTATCAATGACAAATTGGACGTGATGTACAATAAGGCCGGGATGGAACAGACATTGGTGGAAGACGAACACCGCATTTTGGTGGATTTTGCCAAAAACAAGTTCCGCACGCTTTGTATCCTCAGCGGTACTCCACACAGAATCAAACGTCTTCCGGAGTTGAGTTCCAGCAAGGGCAATCCGTTTGGCTTTTCCGTTTTGAAGCCTTCCGCATCCGATGACGAGTACGTGCAAGCTCTCGCCTCATCAAATATTTACTTTGAGCACACCAGCATAGACATGGCGCAGCGTGTAGAGCTTGCATGCGCGGTGGTGGCGGCGCGAAGGGGCGCGAGCGCCAAAACGTTTGATAAAGACGACCGCGCGTTCATCATTCGCGAGTACTTGACAAAATTGGCATTCGATGTTCAGACCCAACGAATTTACAGAGCATCTATGGTGAGCCAGAAACAGGTATTAGCGGTCCCCTCACGTCTGCCTTCGCGGTCTCCGTCGCCCTCGCGCCTCCAGAACCAAAGATCGATAGGCGATTTTAGATCTTTGGCTGCCTCGAACTCCCCGTTCTTAAAGCTCCCGTCTCCAATAAGCTCTACCCAGGATTTGAAACCCCATATCCCTGGAGAAACCAGAGCGTTGCCGGGAAAGGCTGCGTTTACTGTTCAGAACACCCCCAACCTCCAATTCCCAGCCTTTGCTCTGCCACCTTTACTCAAGCCCCATGTGTTGAAGAAAAAACAGTCGATGGGTATCTTAAATGCCGACGCATTGTACGCGCTCTCTGCCCTGCCGGTCAAACTGAATGAACCAGCTCTGCTTGTTCAGTCTAGTGAAGAGAGGGCTGACCTCTTTGAGCAATGCAAGTCTGCAGTAGTAATCAAAATCGACCGTGAGCGGAAACTTCTTAGGTCATTAGCTGTTGAAATTGGTCACGGGGAAGGTATAGAGAACCTCTCCTAGGTTTGCCATAAAGAGCGCGCGACTTTTGACCTGCTATAAGATAGCATCAATACTGGCCAAGTTGGAATGTTTTAGATTGGGGAGTATCAGCGTATAGGGCTCTTCCAATTCATGAGGTGATATATTTGTAACCCCCTCCCCGCTTTTACACCCTCTCTCGTTATTACACTCTACCCATACTGTGAAAATAATATATACAATATATTCTTTCACGTCTCTATGGTAACTGGCAGTGTGATCAAGCCACGATATAATTACTAAACCAATACATAATAAAAAAGGCGCGAAGGGGGTTTTGTTCGCGGGAACTTGCTCAGCTTTATTCAATGCTTGTTCACTACTTTCCGTCTACCGACCTGGAGAGCCCCACCCCGTTCATCTTACTGGCGTATCCGGCCGTTGGCTGCCACTTCCTGACACTCCGAATATCGTCCCCCGCATACCCTGGCACACGAATATTCCAGTTCCGCTCAAGATGGAGCTGGATATCCTTAACGTCAATCGTATCCACCTTGCGGTGCTTGGCGAGGCGGCAGGCGAAACTCGTCACACTCGTGACAAACTCGTCTGCAAGATCAAGCAACAATTCTTCAACCTCGTTTTCGAGCGCAGTCTCGCCGTCACCCTCGTCCGCACACACGATCGCCACAAGCTCACTCAACTTGCGCTTCGACAACACGCGGTCACCCTGAAGCTCGAACGGCGGAACCTTTGTTGCCGCGGGCGTGTTGATGGAGGCAGGCACCGTACCACTCGCCCCGGTGAGGCCAACCTTGCCAGGTTTTGCCAGAGTGACAGGTGGCGGCTTCACGGCAAGCGTAGGGGTCACAACAATGGATGGCCCGGGCGGCGTCTTGGTGATCCCAGCGGTAAGCGCAGGATTCGCCTGGGTCGCGAGCCCGTTGGACGAGCCGTTGTTGGGTTTTGCCGCAGCATTCACGTTGGTGACGGGTGTGTTGGGTGTGGGCGCGCGTACAGGGGCCGCGACAGGGGGTGCGACGGAGGCTTTGGCTGGAAGTGGCTTCGCCTGAGGTGGCGGCGTTGGCGTCACCTTCGGGGCAGGTTTGGCCTGCGGCGCCGCCGGCGACTGCAGCTTGACCGGAGCGCGTGCCGCATTTGTGTTCACGACACGTGCAACCGGAGCCTGGCGAGCGACTCCCATCGGACTCTGCGCACTTGGGATCCCGGGGCTGGCGGCGCCGCTGACGCTTGGTGAGCCCTGGCGCGAGCCCTGCGTCATACGCACGTGGTTCGCCTGCACCTGCTGCTGTTGTTGGCGGCGCAACTGCTGCGACATTTGCACGGCTGCGCGGCGGTACTGTTCATAGCGCTGGCGCAAGCTTTGTTCCAGCTGCGCGAGGCGTGTGAGGGTCTCGGGCGGGAGCTGGCCGGTCTGCTTGGCAGTCTCGATGCTCTGGAGCTTAGTGTGAAAGTCGTCAAGCACACGTTTGATTTCCTGGAGTTGATTAAGGGTGGGAAGCGGCTGTGCGGAGGCATTCGCATTCGCAGCGCCAGGTGTGGCATTTGCAGTGTTCGCGGTGCCAATCGCATTTGCGGCCGTCACATTTGCATTGGCGTTCATCACATTCATACCATTCACTGCGCCCAAGGCATTTACGGCGTTGGGTCTGACTTGCGGGGAGGCACGATTTTGCTGAAGGCGCACGGCCTGCGCGTTCTGCATCTGCTGCGCCGTCGCGTTCTGCATCACGTTCTGCATGGCGTTTTGCATCGCAGGGTTTTGGTTGATGTTTTGGTTCACATTTTGGTTGACGTTTTGGTTCACGTTTTGGTTCACGTTTTGGTTCACGTTTTGGTTCGCATTTTGCTGCGCAGCCTGCGGTTGCGCCTGCGTTGGTTGGCCTGCCGCTCCCGCGGACGCGTTGGCCTGACGGTGCTGCTGCTGGTACCGTACCAAAATTCCCTTAATCGTATTCGCCTTGCGCAAGTGCTCGCGGCCCTCAGGAGTCTGGAAGCCCGCAGCCTGCGCCGCGGCACACTCACTACGGTACGTAGTAGCGAGCTGCTGGATGTGCTGGGGCTGGATAGTGAGCCGACTGCGCGGGGAAGTTCCAGGGGCCTGTCCCGGTGTGCTCCCCGGGGTTTGGCCTGGATTTGGCGATTGATTAGGGGTTTGATTGTTCATCGCGTGGAGGTTATATCTGGATGAGATGGGACGGCGTCGGGGGGTGTTTTTATATGCCAAGGGGCAGTGTACTGGTATGGGCACGACCGAAGGCTCCGGCTCCGCTGCGGAAACAAGGGTGTAATTCAAGGAATTGTCTTCATGTATCTGGGCGTTATTTTAAGGAGATAAAATATAAAAAATAGTGTCGAAGAAGGATTAAGGTGTTTTAAATAGATTTATTTTTTGTGGTTGAGGTGGAGAGAGGGTTAAAGAGTATTGTTGAAGAGATTGGTATCATAGCTGTGCAGTGTTACCTCGAATAGTTTCCTGTTTTTTGGTCGGGTAATGGCAACCTTGAATGGGAGGCCTATTCTTCTCTACGGGGGCCTATTATTTTTACTCTCTGTGATCGAGTATCGCTCTAGAATGTTGTTGTTTTTTGGCATTGTTCAGCTTATTTATATCGGATACTGCAATTGGCCAAGTTGTCTGTTTCAGTCGTTTATACCGTGAGCTTTCGATTTTAAATTGCTATTTTGTACCTTCAGACCATTAGCTATCTAGAATACGTTTTGTTAATATAGCATTGGTAGTCCTGTGTACTGGGTGTTTAGTAGCGCAGCCTTCCTGGTACCACCACATTACGGTCGCAAGTATTGCCGTTTTAATAAGCATAAGTACGATTTTTTTGGATTCAAAAAGCGCCGTTGCGGTATTTTACTGGTAGATCTAACTAAATAAGATGTATTATAATGGATTTATAATGGAATAAGGATGTATAATTATATAACACTGAGCAGATGGCCAGGAAAGAGATTCCCTCGTTTCTGATTCATTTTATTAAAATGCAAGAAATTGATAATATCACTGGGATTGGAAATATTTCCCTTCTCTCAGACCAATAAATGATACCATTGGCTGAAATTATAAACTCACCAGATAAGATAGGTCGGATAGGTAATGTCCGTGGTCTAGCTAAAAAGACAAGTTTCAATGTTAGTCAATTAATGAATTCAACCTGCATTTCTTATGAGCTTCATGTTTACCTGCTCAACCATCTCTATGACAAATCCCTAATTAATCTTTCCCAATTAATCTTTCTCGATTAGTCATTTTCAATTAATCTTTCTCAATCAATCTTTCCTAGAGAAATTCGTGGCTATTAACATACTCCACGAATGCATCGATCAAGCTGGGCCATGCGGCAGTCTCGTCGTATTCTGCCAAACTAGTCTGCTGGCTAAACCACTCTAAAAATGGCAATAACATCGTCCAAGCGTCACGGTTGATCGTTTTTTTCCACTCTTCCACCACAAATTTCACCCACAAAGCCAACTTTGCACCGTACACAGGTGCAAGGAGGAGATTCCAGTACTCCACCGCAACCTCATTGCTCAACACACGAGCATTGGCATCTAACGCAATCGTAAATGTGTATTCGTACACCTGTTTAAAGTAATCCTTGTTACCGGCGTATCTCTTCTTCTCCAGTTCGATGAAGGCGGCCATCTCAGACACGGATTCGACGTTCAGTGCGGTCCATTTGCGCACAAAGGCATCTTTTTTGAAAATCCCAACGCTCGGAGACTCCAAAAACTCCGCCAAAATGAGCGCCGAGACATCTTCTGGCTCGAACCCCAAATCCTCAATGTACGCAATCGTCCCATCAATACCAATGTCCTCACCCTCCGGGTCCTTGTACTTGGCAAAGATCGCCTCTAGCGCAGAGCTGGTCTCGCCCTGCCCGCTCTTTTTCGATAAATATGCATCCAATGCTTGCTCAAAATTGTTATTATAGTGTGAGAGCCACGTGGTGGCGTTTGCCATGGTGGTCCCCGTCAACTCGACGAATTGGTTAACGGATTTTCTGGTTGGCGGTGGCTGGAGGTTAGAAACTTCATGGGGAAGGAGATGGGTGTAAGGTAAGGCTAACGTACCATTGTGTGTGATGAGTATATGTCTACAGAACCCAGGCAACAAGTGGCAATGTCTAAAAATTGGTTGTGGTTAAGTAGCCAAATTGGTAGCCTTCAAGATCAAATGCAGGATATATTGTTAAAGAAAGCAGTACAGGTTATACTTGAATTATAACCGCCATGTACGCGGGGGATCTTCTTGGTCGGTCCCAGAATCCAAATTTGAAAGTGATGGGGTCAATAGTGGATGCGATACAGCGATATTTCTCTCGCATATTCTGAGTAACCTCCTCACAACTTCAAGTAATATGGTTCAATCTTCCGTTTTGAGTTTCAATATGCAGGATATGTAATGTAAACAGTCCGGAGCAAAAAGACCTCTTTTGTGTAAGTCTGGCATGGAGAATATTACATTTCGCACGCCGCCAAACATATTCATTCTGTTGTTAGAGACAGTTTTATCTCAAGAGTCGACCCCTGGTAGCTTGCCCTTATACCAACGCGTGTATAGCCGTTACAGATCTCCAAATAACAAGTAAGGATTTCCAACTAGCTTCCAGTTATACGCGATCTCCCGTTGGTGTGCTTTCCTTTCCTGTTTAATTGAGTTATTTTGAACAAATTGTTCCGATAGATCAATTCAACAGATTAGCCTCTGGTATCATTTGACTGTCTCATCAAAACACTCACCTTCCAGGCCCTTCATTTCTTTAGCTCCCACCAAATACGGCATCCATAGCGTACAACCGTTCCTATCTGATACAATATCGGGAGCCATTCAATTAACTACAACTACGCAATATTCACCATTTATAGGCATACTTTCTGAGCCAATATATCGCGTCTACCATCTAAACCACACCAACTCGATGACCACCCTTCCGCTTTCACAAAATGCCTTTCTCTCGGTGTTTTCGCCCCCTGACTCCTCTGTCGCAAAGTCCCAGCTTGAAATCTCGAATGATCTTGACATGGTTCTCATATGGATGCAAGAGCTGATGCGCTCCAGTGACCCAAAGCTGCCCTCTAACCGCATCAAGGTGGCCCTCAAAAACGTCTGCGGCACTGAAGACATTCTTCTACTGCGCTACATCGATAGCATGCGTTCGGACTTTAAACGTCGCGACGTCAGCATTGACGGCTTGGACCTACGAGGAACTGCTTCCACTGTCGCAGTCCTTAAGCGGGGCTACGAATTCGGGGTGCGGTACCTCCGGCTAGATCCCGTGCACCAGACGCTCTTCGAGCGCAGTCTCCACGCAGTGCTACGAACCTTATTCCCCGAGAAAACCCTCCTCCGCATCTACAGCCAGTTGTTCTCCCGCGATGTGGCTAGTGTCACCCGGATCCTTGAGTCCATTGGTTTGGGAGAGCAGATCCGTAACACCGTCATGCGGTTGGCCGTGGGCCACGTCAAAACCCACGTCACGGAGACGTGTTCTGGGGAATGGGACGAGCCACAGCTCCAGGAATTAGACCGCTGGATCGAGACGGAGCTCTACCCCCGTATCAACGTGTTTCCCTCCGCTGGCTCCAAGTCGGTCAGCTGGGAGATTAACGAGGCGGCCGGGGAGTACGATTTCATCGCTGCACTTAAGGGAATAGCCAGAGATCGTCTCTTGGACCTCCGCATCACCGAAAGCTTCGATATTGTCGTGGATTATCCCGACAGCTGTCCGGCCTTGGAAGAGATGAAGCTCTGTCTTACGGCTTCGGACCAGCGGGCGAGCTTGGTCAACAGCTTCATCCAGGCCTGTAACAAGCGGCTTCTCCATTCGGCCGTGAACACCACTGATATCATTTCCTTCTACATCGCGCTGATCCGCGGCTTCTTGGTGATCGACCCCAGGGGCGTGCTCTTGGATAAGGTTGCGCGGCCTCTCAGACGGTATTTGAAGGACCGTGATGACACGGTCCAAAAGATTGTCCACGGGATTTTGGACACGGAGAACGAGCTAGCGGAGTTGGCCCACGAGCTCAAACGTCCCACGAAGGAGAAGTACGACGACTTGGATGTCAACTGGTGTCCGGACCCCATCGACGCGCTCCCTGACTTTAAAAAGGGCAAGGTAGGGGACATTATCGGCGCACTCATATCCCTTTTCGACTCCAGCGAAGTGTTTGTGGCCGAGTGTATCTCGCTTTTTGCGATCGAGTTGTTGGGGTTGACCGACTATGACGTCTCGGAGGTGTTGTTCCGGTTGGAGTTGCTCAAGCTCCGCTTCGGTGAGAACGAGATCAGTGCATTGGACGTCATGGTGCGCGACTTAGTCGAGAGCAAGCGCGTGAATGCGGCCGTACACTCAGACGGACTGATTGGTTCGTATTACAGCCTGACGGTCATCTCACACTTGTACTGGCCAAACATCGCCAGGGAAACGTTCAAACAGCCAGCTTTGGTCGAACAGCACTTTACACGATACCGCGCGCGGTTTGAAACGTTAAAACAGGGGCGCACGCTCCACCCGGTACCGATGCTCGGGACGGTGGTGTTAGAGCTCGAATTCAAGGGGAAGCTAGTGGAGTTTACGGTCGATCCGTTAAGGGCGAGCGTGGTGGCGTTGTTTGAAAAGAGCAGTCGGTTGACTTTGGGGGATATTATGGCAGAGTTGCAGTTGGAGAAGGGCTACGCTGTCCGAGCTGTTAACTTCTGGATCAAGAGCGGAATCTTGTATGAGCCGGAAACTGAGGTGTATATCACGTTGGAGGGGGATGAAGTGAGTGAAGGGCATAAGCCCTCCTCGGGATTCTCCGAGGACTTGAACGATGAACTGGAGAGGGATGTTTTGGTGATGGCAAAGTACTTGCCGTTTGTTACCGGGATGCTCACTAATCTTGGTGCGTCCCCGGTGGCTAAGATCCATGGTTTCTTGAAGATGTTGGTGCCAAAGGATATCGGAGGGTATAGCGCGACGGAGAAGCAGTTAGAGATGTACCTTGATCATTTAGTGGAGGAGGATAAAGTGGAGGTGGTGGGAGGGAAATACAAGCTTAGAAAGTAGGAATCAAGCGAATCTAGCGCAGTGAGGTGAGCTAACAAAAGTGAACTGAGCAAGTTGGGCTGAGCAAGTTGAGCTGGGTGAATCAAGTGAGCTTAATAGCGATATAGCTAATTCTAAAGTGAGTTTCTCGATTTCATTGAATCTTTGGCTATGCTTGTAGATTGTAGAGATGAATTCATTATCTTATAACACACGCTAATCGATTTAGTATCCCTCACGTATATCTAGTATTCAACATGTCAATATGTGGTATTCCTACCTGGAACTAAAATCAGAAATCATCTAGATGTTAACTCTTATACTAATGTATGCTCGTGATGAGATTGTGACGAGAAAGAGTGTATCTAATTCATCTATGGTTAGAAGCTTAGTACGAAAGTAACGTTTGAGCCGAGAAATATGAAAAGTTTGTAAGGAAGCCCCTACCCAAGTTCAAAGATACTGAACTGTTCGTCTTTGATAGATTTTTTATTCGAAGCATAAGGCTACTCTATTAACTAAACTTTTAACTTGAAAATAGTTTGTGTTACGAAACATTAAGCCTGTAAATGATTGAGTGAAGCTTGCTTCGAACTCTCTATCTAAATCTAAGGGAAGTAACTGTCCTAAACATTGAATTTATCCAATACACCATTAACCACCAGGATTTAATATTGACATGATATGTAAGCCCATTAGAATAAATTTGGCTGTATCAGACCGACATGGGATTTGATTCAATCAGTTTTACATCATCGTACCCATTAGTATGTACTTGCACAGCAAAAGTCAAATCAACACACACTACCTTTACTAAGCACCCGAATGCTAGGACCCCATTACTTCCCAGAGGGGGGTTACACCCCACAAAAGGCAACCTCTCTATCCTACTTTCCTCTCAGATTCTATTACAAGGCGATATATACAGGGCTAGATGTTTGGGGGCAAAATGAGAGCACCAACAATGTCACCTCTTCTCTCGACGGTCAACAAATCCCAGCTGTTGCAGGCGTTTCTGGTGTCAGAAACCTCGAGAGCTATCCCCAAGTCGTTAAAAAACTTCTTGTTGGACTCGCTCAACACACGGAACTTTTTGCCCAACCCGACAACCACAATATCTGGCTTTGGATGAACCGCAGCAAAGATCGACAAGATCCTTTGCTCGTTAAACTCCACGTGGAACCCGTTGGTGATCTTCAAGGTCTGATCGTGGGCGTAGTTGTCCTCAGGCGAATTGGAGAGGGTGACCTCAAAGACCTCTTCTCCGAGGAGAATGGCACCGGCAATTTCATTATTTTCGTTCGGCGTCTCAATAACCTTCATGTTTTGAAAAAGAATCCCGTTCGGCAAGCACGTCACGATACTGTTAGGGGCCAACTTGACCGGGCCGTATATGTCTCTTTGTTCCAACAAGTTACTCCCGTCTTGGCCCTTGGTCCCGTTGAATCTCTTGGTCCAGGCCACGCGGACAGGTATGCTTCTCAACTTTGTAATCTGTCTGAGCATATTCAGATACTATGCCCTAACAGTGGTATATATATTCGACAGCGGCAGTGTCAATATATACCTAACAGTGGTACCAATATACTAGCCGATGTAATAGAGCCTGCACGGTTTTGAACACTGGCAGCGCATACTTCTGGCTCTCTTTTTTCGCTACCCGCAGCATATTTTTTCATCGGTGAAATAATAACGCCGAAGAAGACCAAATAATCGCCTTCACATCTATCACCATGCCTATCAGAGCTATTTCACAGGTCGCTACCGCCCGTAATGGGTTGGGCGCGTTCATCGTTCCAGTATGTGCCCCCTTCTCGCCCGCCAGAACCCTACTAACATTTCTAGTGCAAAAGAGTTACATTAACCTACTGCAACTGGGGCGGTAGCTCCCAGGGAATGAGAGACTTCCTCACCAAGGACTTGAAGGCCATCGCCGCCAAACACCCACAGATCGAATTCAAAGTCATGAAGAAGGAGGGCCACCCGATCATCAAAGGCGAATACAACAACGGGAAGGAAAAGGTGATATCCGTCAGAAAGAGAGACCCGCTCTGGATCAACGACAAGATCTACTTATTGACCCAACAGTCAGGCAAGAAGCTCATCAAGAACTTTGGGAAGAAGCAGGATGTCGAGTCCCAAAACGAGTCCATCAGAGGCATCTGGTCCCCAATGCATACCGACCCGTCGGTCAGACACAGAGTCTAAGTGCACTCTGTCTTGTATATATGTCCCAATAGAGGTGAATTAAGATGAAACATAACCATGGAAAATTGCACGTCACCAGTACGTTTTCTTTATATCTTTGGGTATAATTGGCCGTACATACTAGGGGTGTGTCCTGGTTGTGAAGCTCATCACTCCAGTATGACAAAGAATTGGACATGCGGATAGCCTGAAGCACAAATTGATTTATAAATACGGCGTGGGTGAGTTATAAGGATTTGACTAGAACGGTTGACATCAATAAAAGAGCATTCAGAAAGACAAGGACAAACTTAAAGAGCCTTTATTCTAAGTCATATCGGTCTTGTGCTACTCAACTTGGCATTTCTATATCCATTTTCAGACCCACACTGGGCCGATGTGACCGATAAGTTTGGCTACAAAGCGCATGGCCCTCCAATGCAAACACTACTGTTCAGTTATAATCCCTTGCGCCTTTTTAATCACACCGTTCTACAGCTTCACGAAACAATTAGCAGGAATAAATAACGATGAATAAATAGGAGAAAAAGGAGAATGTAAAAATGCATAAGCGACAGCACCAGTGAATCAGAATTTGTATCCGAACGGCAATCTTTAGCCCAGATGGCCTGTCGACCCGGGTACTCTCGCTCTTTTCTTTTGAAGGGATACGGCGTAGCGTATGGATGTGGGGAAGTGAAAATGTGGAATGGAACTAAGTAGATCTGAACTTGATCTTGGTCTTTCTGTGCTTCATCATCTTCTTCTGCAACTGGAAAATACCGTACATCAAAGCTTCAGCGGTTGGCGGGCAACCCGGCACGTAGACATCGACCGGGACGACTCTGTCACACCCTCTGACAACGGAGTAGGAGTAATGGTAATAGCCTCCACCGTTGGCGCAGGAACCCATGGAAATGACCCATCTTGGGGCTGGCATTTGATCGTACACCTGTCTCAAGGCTGGTGCCATCTTATTGGTCAAGGTGCCGGCGACGATCATGATATCGGACTGACGCGGGGACGCTCTGAAAATAATCCCCAATCTATCTTGATCATATCTTGGCGCGGAGACGTGCATCATCTCAACGGCACAACAGGCCAAACCGAACGTGACTGGCCAGAACGAAGACTTACGAGCCCAGTTCGCAATGGTATCAATGGAGGTAAGCGCATAGTCGACGGCGTTGTTGTTGACTAACTCAGACATCAACGGGTACTCGGTAGGCAAGGCATTTGGGGTGACGTCCTTGGAGGCAGCGGCCATGACAGCAGCAGAGTTGTGAATGGAACGGACACCAAGGGAGCCAGCCACGTTGCGGAGGCCAACCTGCTTGGCAGAGTTAAATAAGGAACGGCTCAACATGTTGTATGAGATATAAGATTGACACAGAGCTACTATTCAGGTATGAGAAACAATTCGGGTATGTGTTTAAGTGTTGATTTGCTGTGCCAGAGTCCTGTAACCGTTCGCGTTTAGACTCGCTAAGATTTGGTAGTGCGCGGTAACGTTAGTTGAACGCCATTTGATTGGCTCTGTCTGTGCGGCTCACGAAATTTTCCACCCCAGGAAGATTGTTACCCGGCGAGAAGGTCGTGCGTGGCAAGTTGGCGGCGCACGTCAAGTCTGCGAGAGGGTCTCGGAAGGGCCAATGGTGTAGGAATGAAAGGTCTTGATTGATTATAGGCTAGCAGTATAATCCTTCCCAGGTTGACTTGAAATGTAGTATTATAATGGTTCTGACTCAAGGTGGATGGTTTTAGAATGTTATGCATTTATCTGTAAATGATGCTCCTATCATGTCACATGAGACACAATCGCATGTATAGTAAAATGCTGGTGCGTCTGTGGGTACTTGGCTATCCAGTAAGATATGTGCGTTATACATATTCACATAATTGGCTGATATATAAATAATAGCCCTGGAAGTGACGTGTTCTAGTATGTATAAATTCTTGTTTAACATTCGAGATCTCAAAAAAACGCGTGCACTAGAAGCTTTATCTAATATAATTGGACTTGAAAATGATATCCACTGTTAGATAATTATATATATATATAATAGTATTTAGTAAAAATTCGTTTAATTTTCAAATTATTACGCACACAGGAGATAACTTAGCGTTTGAGATATATCAAACATTCATACTTTTAGTCCTTCCACCACTGCCAAAAGCATCTTTTGTACTCGAGTATTGCAATTTATACTAATGCTAGTCCCTAATTAAACTAAACAAACAAATCGTCGCCCTTTTCCAAGGTCTCGATAACCCGCCTGATCTGCCTCTCTTGCTTGACTTCCTTTGTCAAAAGCGTCCCCGAAGCCAATTCATGGTCTCCAACCATGGTCACCAATGTTTCGGAGCTGATGTAGCTCCCATGGATGCCTTCTACACACGAGGCAATCTTTTCCAAAATAGGCTCGAACACCAACAGTTCTACGTTTTCACCCCATAACGTGTCCATGTGCTCATAGCCATCCACCCCCAATACCTCCAACTCCCTCGGGGTTAAGTTAGCCATGGAACTATCGATGTCGACCAAAATGTCGGACTTGCCATACACCAACATGATCCGGGTGGTGATATTCTGGACTGGGAACGGAGCGACCCTGTGGTTCTTACTAAACGTCGATTCCAGGGTAAGCGAGGTAAGCAACGACCCCGCGTTTCCTCCTTCGTCGTACATCTGGAACCGACGGGTCTTGATGATTTGAAACCAATGTACTACCGACTTAACGGACGAGGGGGAGAACATGTGGGTATAGCCCATCAACTTCTGCGCCGGCGAGATATTCTGGGACTTCCAGCCAAACAAGACGGTAAGCGACTTATCCACGACTTGTTCGTAGAGCTTGGGGCCAAAGAGCTTCTGCCAGAAGATTACTGATGGAACGATAGCCCTCTTGCCAAACGCCAGAAACAAGAATCGTGGTGCCAAGTTGACGATGTTCTTTAATAAAGGGTGATTCAAGTTTCTCGGTACCATGGCCGGGGAAAGCCCAACAAAAAGGTTAATCTTCTTGTTTAAAGCAGGCGAGAGCGAGAGGGCAGCTAAAGCTTGGGCCGACCCCTGACTGAAACCAACATAAGTCACCAGGCTTTCGCCTGTCGCCTGTAGGATGTAGTCCACCGAGTTGGGGATATCGTACAAGGCGTACTCATCGAGGGAAAAGTTCCAGAATTGCTTGTCGTTGGCTCTGCGGGAAACATGCTTTCTGGAGTACTTGTTCCCTCTGTTGTTGCCTAGCCACACGTCGTAGCCACGCTTGAGTAAGAGGAACGGGAGACACTTTTCAGTGGTCTCTCCTAAGACAAAGAGCTCAGAGTTTGTGAGGAGACCATGATGGAAGTAAACCACCGGCTTTGGGTACATGTCTGGTTCCGAGGCGCTAGAGCTTGGAGAGAACAAACGGTGTATCGTGAGCAAGTATCCGTCCTGGGTTTGTACCACGTGTTCATGGAGTCTGTAGCCATGGGCCTCGACAAGATCGATTATATCCCGGGAGTTGACAATTTTTTCAATAAATTTCTGCTTGGCCTCAGACGTATGGCTCTCCGGTGATTTGGGCATCGGGCTATTCCTCGTGCGGTCCCGACCGATGCCGCTAGGGAATGCATCCAAGCCAAGAAAGTGACATGTTTCTCTGAGAATTCTCAATGGAAGGGTTATAGTGATGTAGAAGAATACTCTGATGAGCAGCCTGATGGCGGCATATATAGAATACTCCTCGCTTTCGGTCGGGGTAAGTCGATTCATGCAAGTGGAGATGCGTGTCAGTGGGACAAAATGCGATAATGGAGAGTAACCACGTGTAGTGCGATATATAACCGTGTTGAATAATTACCCGTACCAAGTACTTAGGGATTATGAATGAAGTATGCCTGTGGAAGTAGAATCCATCTACTGAAAAAAAAAGGGTATATACCTTTTAAGGCGCAGACGATCGGTGCATGTTTCCGGCATCGCGTCCACAAAGATCACATGCCAAAACCACCGAGAGGCTGTATGCAATAACGGAACATTTATTTTAAAATGCTCTCTTTTTCATATCCATGCTTCTAAAAGCGGTATTAGGCAAAATAGCATTATTTTAACCAAACTATGCAATAGTAGGAAACGCTGCTCAGTCGACTGTTATGCTTCTAGGGACTTTCGACAATGGCGTACACATCTTGAGCAGCCATTTCACGAGGGGTTACAACGTAACGCAGAGGCCTCGATAAAAGCGTCTAGATATTATCTGACATCGGGAAACATGCCGGCTCAGTTGGTATGTCCAATTCGCTAACAAATCCTCCCTGGATATACTAGAAAACTGTCCCCACCCCCGTCATGGAGCATCGATACCAAGGGCAGCGGCAGACCTAAAGATTATATTTACAAGGGTAGTGCCGTTTATATGACTCGTAGGTTGGCATCTTTTTCGACTTTTTGCTGTTTGTCTTTCGTTGGTTGGCGGTTTTGTTGCTTTTTGGATTCAAATACTGGTTCTACACTTTTAACGTTCTGCTTCTTGGGAAGGCGGAACTTGGGGCACCACCGAAGCTAAACCAGCAACGGTGCGTTCATACTCGGAGATGCTATCAGAATTGACTTAGGTGAACTGTCGACTACAAAAGTGGGGTAGATAGTACAAGTGGAGCATGCGAGATGGTTCATATACCGTGACCGTTTTGTGTTAAAGGCGGATATTCCAAGCACAGGGGGAGATTTATATATATGTGGCTATATCCGTTGTGTGACCAAAGGTCGTTGAGATCTATTCTTAATATGTATACTACCAACGTAAATTATAAAAACCCATAACGAAAATCAGCCTAAGAGTACTAGATGCTATTTTCTACCAAAACTATTCAAGTCAGATAGCGGGGCAGATAAAACCTTCATTTGATAGTCCCAATAAGCCTTTAGCAGAGTGTTGCAGTTTCTTAAACCATCGTTTGAGCAACTGCGATGAAGTCCCATACAACAGTAGTCTGTCTAATGGTCACGGAGGAAAGACCTACATAAACCTCCTGCGGCTTCTCCTCCTGAGAGCCACGCAGCGAGACGCAGCCGGACGAGCATACCGCATTGGGAATGGTTTCCCGCATAATCTGCCGTGCATTACTAATACAACTTTTTTTCACCGCAACGAATCTATCACCACCGCCTTACTCTGTATTCCAGTTTGTCAAAGTTGCTTGGTTGTCGAAAAGATTCCTAGTTGTCTGCTATCCCTATTGACAGATTTGCTCAAGACCGTCCAGCAGTGTATCTAAGCCTGCTCAATTGTGTACCCAAGAATCATACGTGACCAGGAGAATCGTCATCTGAGACAAGACCAGAAACTCAATCCTATGGTACCAAAACCTTTGCATTCAAACATACACATGGAATCTCCTAACCGCGTGCCGACGCCGTGGCACATGAAGCCAGCAATCGCACAGGCCACCGCGCGGTCGATCGCCGCCGGGTTATTTATCGGCTCCGTCGTACTCGTTTCCAATTTCCAGTTCGGGCTCCAGAGTGGCTGGGTGTCGATGATGTCGCTACCGTCATCGCTCCTCGGGTTTGCCATCTTCAAGACGTTTGCCGCAAAGTTGCTGTACCCCTTCTCCGACGTGGAAAATGTCTTTGTGCAGAGTGTTGCGGTGGCGGTGGGCACAGGACCGCTCGCCTACGGGCTTGTGGGCATTGTGCCGGCGATTGAGAAGTTCATGACACCGGAAGAGTCCGGGGTAGGCCACACGATCAGACTCAATCTCCTCCAGTTATTTGTGTGGTGCATCGGGATCGGTTTCTTTGGGGTCTTTTTCTCCATTCCGTTGAGAAATCAGGTTATTCTCAAGGAAAAGCTTCCCTTCCCCAGCGGAAGTGCCACCGCTACCCTCATTTCGGTGCTTCACGACACAGAGATCTTGGACGAGACAAAGCCGCAAGTGCAACCCATTGCGGACGAAGAGGCGTCAATGAACATGTTGGACTCGCCTGAGATCCTTGCCTTGAGCCACTCCGAAACATACCAGAAGAACATGTACAACTTGCTTGTAACCTTTGCCGTTTCATCTGCCTATACCGTTTTATCCTACTTCGTGCCCCAGCTCCGCTCGATCCCCATCTTTGGGAGTAGGCTTTCGCGTGACTATTTGTGGAATCTCCAACCGTCGCCCGCCTACATCGGCCAGGGGATCATCATGGGATTGCCAACGGTTTCGTACATGCTTTTTGGGGCCGTTCTAGGCTGGGCCGTGCTTGCTCCGTTGGCCAAACACATGGGCTGGTCCCCAGGGCAGATTGACGACTGGAAGGAGGGGGGCCAGGGATGGATCTTGTGGATATCTTTGGCAGCCATGGTTGCCGATAGTGTTGCGAGTTTTGTGGTGGTCACCACAAAGTCTCTCTGGCACTTGTACCAGAAGCACCAGGCGGAAAACCAGTACCACCCGGCTAACCGCTTGCTCGGACCTGTACTTCGCGACGACTCGTCGAACGAAAACCCGGAAAATTCCACGTTTGACAGACAAAGCGTCGGAGAAGAATTCGGAGCTGCTTCGGAAAACCTGGAAATTGATAAGATGGAGCCGGAGTTTCTTGTTTCCAACAAAACCACATATACCGGACTAGCGGTTTCCTCCGTGTTGTGCGTGGCCTGCGTCCGCTACGTGTTTGGTCCCGTAATTCCCATTTTCTCCATTGTCGTTGCGCTCCTCATTGCGTTCTTCCTCTCGATCCTTGGTGTTCGCGCGCTCGGAGAGACGGACTTGAACCCAGTGAGCGGGATTGGCAAGATTTCGCAGTTGATCTTTGCGTTTGTGATCCCCAAGGACCAGCCAGGTGCGGTACTCATCAACTTGGTGGCTGGGGGAATCGCCGAAGCCGGCGCCCAACAGGCGGGTGACTTGATGCAGGACTTGAAGACAGGGCATCTCGTGGGCGCCTCGCCAAAGGCGCAGTTCATAGCCCAGATGATTGGCAGTTTCTGGCTGATCCTCCTCAGCGGGGTCATGTATAGAGTTTACGATTCGGTGTACGAGATTCCCGGAAAGGTGTTTAGGATTCCGACGGCTATCATCTGGATCGATTGCTCGCGTCTTGTTACGGGCCAAGGCTTGCCTCCCCACGCGCTTACCGCTTCTATCGTTGTGGGTGTGATCTTTGCGTGCATCTCATTGGCGAAGAATTTGACACCGATGGGCCACTGGTTCCACGGCAAGTTGGTCTATTTGCCGTCTGGGGTGGCTGTGGGTATTGGCATTTACAACACACCTTCGTTTACCATTGCTAGGTTTGCGGGGGGGTTGGCGTCCTGGTGGTGGATCCGCCGCGCAACTGATGCTAAAGGGACTGTGCCGCTGGACGCCCGAATCTCCATGATTGTGTTTAGCTCCGGCTTGGTATTGGGCGAGGGGATGCTTAGTTGTGTCACGATGTTGATGACCAGTTTAGGGGTTCCGCATTTCTAGGCACCACCCTATGGATTTTCAATGGCGTGACGGGGAATATCCCTACGAGTAACCATCTTTAGGAGAAAGTGTCTGGATAGAGTGGTGGCATTGTATAAGCAAACATTTGCATTTGAGTTGGAGTACAAGCATGTGTAGAAATATCCGGGTACAAGTGTAACTGAGCACTTTACAGATGCATATGTGTGGTGAAGCAGAGTTCAAGCCGCTGGTGTGTATTGAAGCAGCTCTAACTGCCGATGTATATTGGAGAAAACGTAAGCACGCTTGCATCCTGGATCTGTTAATGACCTGCCTAAACGATTATTTTCCATTTCCCAAATTCTAGTCTAGCGATTTGAGCTGCTTGAATCCGACGATCAATCATACGAGTCGATATCCCAAGCAGCTCAAATCGCTATACTGGAATTTGGGGGTATTTCTGTAAACACCCTTATGAGTTTATGTAACAGGTAAAGATTCTGCCACTGGTTCATATACCAGGGTAAAGACTGGCCCACCAAAGGCATCAAAATCCCAAAAGGCTGTCAAAGAGTACCATGCAATCATTTAATTATGTTTGTGTTAGGTTGTCAGAATGGGAAACGATGAGTTCAGACATCAATCATTTTACCCACCATCCTATAGATTTCAACCAACTTTGAGATCAGAAGGGATGGTTAAAACTAATCGTTAAAGTAAAACCGAATGGATTCCGCCAACCTTGGTTTCCGATATATTCATCCCCGCTGCCTCTTCTGCATCTGCCTGAGCGCCGTACAGTAAATACCAATTATATCCATTTTCAACCAATACGGTCGAAAATATGCCCAAACCCTTAGTTAACTCTTCAAAATGTCGCAATACCAAGCAGACAAACTTGTCGCTTTTACATGTTTGTCATACTTTAGACTGCAAATTGACAGGTTTAGGCCGTACCTTCAATACCAAATCACACACACATTTCGCGGACAAACTAGATCAAAACGAACACGAACACGCGATACCACGAAGTAGCGTCTTCCCTTCATCCCCAATTGCGCCATGTTGAAGAGAAAAAACGATGATGCTGAGGGCAGTACGACGAAGCGCATGGCGGCGCAGGACGAAAACAACACCCCGCGATCGGTGGTGGTGCGGGACAGCGACCCGACATACGTGCACTTCCGGATGCTCCTGGTGTTCAAGGAGGCACTGATGATCGTGGGCCCGCACGGCGAGACTATCAATAACTTAAAGGAACGTGCAAACGTGCGGATCAATGTATCGGACAACCTCCCGAACATTCCACAGCGGACGATCTCGGTGCGGGGCCCCGCAGAGAACGTGGCGCAAGCGTTTGGCTTGATCGTAAGAACGTTGATGAAGGAGGAGTTTGATGTTCCATCCAACGAGGCATCCACCAGCTACAATTTGAAGCTCTTGGTGCCGCATCCAATGATGGGCTACGTCATTGGCAAACAGGGTAGCAAGTTTCGCGAGATCGAGGAGCATTCGGCTGCTCGGTTGAAGGCGGACGAGCTCCAGCTTCCGTTTTCGAACGATCGCGTCTTGAACGTGACAGGTGTTGCAGATGCCATTCATATTGCTGTATACTACGTCGCACAGACCATATTGGAGCACAAGGAGATTTTCACCAAGCACAAGTGTGTGTATTACAACCCGGTTAACTACCAGCCGCCCGCACCGTTCGCGCAGTTTCCGGGAATGATGCCTGTTCCGCCGACATTGGGCGGTTTCCCATACTTCCCCGGGCAGCCCGGCGCCGCTCCAGGTGTCTATGGGATTCTCCCGGGCATGATGGACATGAAACAGGAACAGGCTGAGCGTGTGATCACTGTCCCAGCGCACCACATCGGATGTGTGATCGGGAAAAAGGGCTCCAACTTGGTCAACTTGCGAAACCGGTCCGGGGGCTGCTACGTCAAAGTTCACCCTGCTGAACTGGAGACGGATCCGACAAAACGCACATTAACGTTGAAGGGGACAGAATTTACCATAAACACAGCCGAGAAAATGATTTGGGGCAAGATCAACTTCGAGGAGGAGCGTTTGAAGAAGAAAATCGAAGAAAGCCGATCGCCTGCTGGTGCAGACGATCCGGATGTCCAGATGAAGCAGGAACACTAGAGGTAATGGGCATGTATCAAGTTAACTCGAGTCTGTAGGGCGAAGATGATGGGTGTAAAAGTAGAGGGATGCAGGGAGTTTACCATGGATGCTTTTGAGTAGCCATAGAATGGGACGCCGAGGGTGTATTTCGAATCGACACTGGAATTCTAGTCGATTCTCATAATTTAGGTATGCACTGGATACGGATACTGGCACATTTATCGTTCCAGGTGACAACCGGGGTGTCATACTGAGAGCATAATTGAAAGAACACTAGTTCCAAAAAGATATTGAGAGATTCCGGGGAAAATTCTGGTCTGACACCAGATCTATTTTTATCTTCACCATTGACGTTACATCTCTAAACCGATAACCAAAGTGTATTCTGCCTGACAAGCAAACCTTAATATCCGTAAACCGGTCCCATATACATTAAAATATGTGTCAGATATGTTTCAATCATATCCTCATTGTGTGCTACGGGCATTTCAAAGTATTTAACTGCCTTAGGTATTCTCCACTTGATGACTTGCTAGATCATTTTATTACTGACAAATTTCTGCAAAAATGCAAACTCTGAGACGAATGAACTTCTAAATCTCTATAAATATTGGCCATAGAAATAATTTGATTATTCCCTCTAACTACATTATGAACCTGTTTCTAAAAAAATGAGATTTGGCAGTATACAGCTTAATATTATCTATGACCAGAATCCATCTCCATGCAGCGGCTTGAAATCCATCTAAGCCCATTTACCCAATAAGGCCATGATCCCGGCACCGAAACACATCACAATATAGGCGTAGATAATTTTCTTCAGCCCACCTTCACCCTTGAACTCATCTGAGTACAAGAATTCGTGGGCCAT